GTGCGTTGTCGACCTTTTAGGGATTAGGGATTGAGGAGGGATTGGGGGCGGGGAAGAATTGGGCCTCCGGTAACCTCAATCACACGGCGAAACACAACGCTGTGGTCGTTTCACGCCGGTCTTCTGTGAGGCCGTGGTATCACTCCGGTCGAGCCGACCCATTCGTGCCCAAGCATGGTTCTCCCACACAGAAATCCTACATTTTTTCATTGATTTGACGATATACTTAATTTTATGTAATAGTACAGCAAATGAACAGATGCTTTACTTGATGTAAAGCTATCAGCGCCGACCATGGACACTTGCAATTACCAGATTAGCAACGAGTGCGTTGTCGGTTTTTGGAGATTAGATATTCAGGGATAGTATTATATAGTGATTAGGGACGGATACGGCTAAAACAACGCTGTGATTGTTCCACGCCAGTTTTCCGTGAGGCCGTGGTATCACTCCAGTCGAGCCGACCCATTCGTGCCAAAGCATGGCTCTCCCACATTGTAAAAAACATTTATCTTTTTATTTAAATAAGCCATTATATAAAAAAAAACATTATGACCTTATTATATGTTGTGGTTTCATACATAAACAATCATAAACAAAGTATCGTTTTTAACAATGTCAATTTTTTTTTGATGGTAAGCTATCGGCGCCGCCCATGGACACCCGCAATACCAAAGGAATTACGAGTGCCTTTTGGGGATAGGGGTTGCGGATATAAGGATCGGGAAGGGATAGGGGTAGGGAAGGGATTGTGCCTCCGGCAACCTCACTTACACGGCGAAACACAACACTGTGGGTTGTTTCACGCCGGTGTTCTGTGAGGCCCTGGTATCATTCCGGTCGAGCCGACCCATTCGTGCCGAAGCTTGGCTCTTCCACACTTAAGAAAGTATTAAAATATACAATAATAAGTATTGAATTCTATCAGTTATTAACTCCACTATTCTACTCATAGACAACGCTAAACCGAAAAATAAATGGCAAAAAGAAATCTATATTCGCTATACAACCTACTACATTAAGAGTTTTGCCTACGCACTTTACGGACGAGTATGCAAATAGTCTGAAAGCAGCACATCTCAAGCGAACTGGGATTATCTCAACGATACATACGTTTCCTTTTATTACTTACAAATATTTAAGGATGAATATGTCTACACATTAAAAGCTGTGTCAAGAACGGGAAAGTAGTGTAATTTTAACCCATCACATCATCAGCCAAGGAATGCCAACAATAAAAAAGTGGGGAGATTTTGGCAAACACTGTTACAATTTAGATCTGCCACGGACTCTTAAGGTCATCAAATTCTCTCGTCCTGAGTGAGACCAAAACTGCGTCAGACTCTTACTGATTAAAAACCACTCCGTTTCATTCTGCCACGGACTCTTAAGGTCATCAAATTCTCTCGTCCTGAGTGAGGCCAAAACTGCGTCAGACTTATACTGATTAAAAACCACTCCGTTTCATCTCCTGCTCCACAAAAACTGCAGAACCGGACCTGCAATGTTCTTTTTGGAATGAGTCAGTAAACGAGCAGACGAATTTCTTGATGGTAAGCAAGCGGTGGTGCCTATGGACACCAAAAGAGTTACGAGTTCTTAGCCAATATTTCTCAAAGAAGTCGTAACTCCTTGAAGAATAACGGGGTCTTGGGGATTTAGGGTTTGGGGAGGCATGGGAGAGGGGAAGAATTAGGCCTCCGGTAACCCCGCTTACACGGCAAAACACAGTGCTGTGGTATTTTGATTATTTATGCCGGTTTTCTGTTAAGCTGTGGTATCACTTATTAAGTCGAGCTATCTCGCAAATTACCATGAAAAGCATATTTTTTTTAAGTTTTAAGCTTTCGCGTTTCTTATTTACAAGATATAGTTACGCGGGTATCACACGGACCACGACCTGTGCAACTAGGTCGAAACGTCAAGCCTACCAAGGTATTTAAATAATTATTTCCCGCGTTAATAACCGCGTAACTAAGTACCTATATGTTGTTAGTACAATTTTATTTAATTTTTAATTTTTTAGCTTAAAAAGTGACAACAACTACATATTTAAAAATCACAAAATCCATTCAAAAAATGACAAATCAAATATACATATTTTCAGAATTTGAGACATTTTATAAATCTTTAAACGCGAGCAAATCCATCTAACATCAAACAGCCAATAGACCACCACAGACGGGGCCCAATAGGCCTGATGTTCAGCCAGGGTTGCGGGGTAAGCGCAATGAGGCACCGCGACCTTGGCCCAGAGCAGAAGAAGGAACGGGGGCGTTTTTAGTCAGTAAGAGTCTAACACTCCCTCAGGAGAAGGAAAACAGAAGAAGGACTCCCTCGCGGGAGAAGTCATTGGATGATTTTCCTCTGACAAAAAAAAAAAAATCTTACTTCAAACTGTAAACAAAAACCCCTATTTTTAATAAATAATCTGTGGCAAAATAGCGGCCATTTGCAATTTCAATCTATGAAGTTAAAAGAAAAGTTTAATTATTGAAAGTTGTCTTATAAAAATGCTAAATAAAGGCTGGAGGTGATTTTCAATCACTTGTTTTTCTAGCAAGCTGTTAAGGATAGGGTCAGCGGCTATATTTAACTTTTAAATAAATAAATTATAACGAATTGAGTAAGAAATATAGGTCGGTTAAAAGGTGGGTAGTAATAATATGAGGTAAAATTTGTAAGTTTGTATGTAGGGGTTAATATTTGGAACCGCTGCCTGGTCGGATTTCCAGAATTTTTTGACTGATAGATTAATCATACTAATTATACTTCATTTGCGTATTTTAGTCGGGCTATCGCTTTACACGCCGCTGTTTTTAGAAGCCGGAATGTATTTTATATGCGCGCTAAGCAGCGGGCGGACGCTAGTTTCTTATAATGTCAAAACTAAGGTAAAGGCACCTAATTCCGCGCTGTTTTTAACATAACACGAAAGAACATTATAAATTAAGTATTTATCGGACCTTTGTGTACAATTTTATATTTTTATCAGAAGTGTTAGCTATCAAATTTTTGAAAAATATTTGCCGTTTGTCAGTAGAAGGTTATTGAAGCTGATAAAATAAATAAAAATATAAAAAAGTCCGAGGTACCTTATTCCGATTTAAAAATCGTAATTCCGATGCATTTGGTTCCTAATTCCGAGTATAAAAATAGAAAGGGAACTATGTAGGGAGAATTATACATGATGTTTAAAAGTCAAATCTGTTTATTTTTTATATTACTTAAATCAATTCTGTTTTTGTTTATTCTAGTTTTATTCTAAACCCTGTTTTTATTAATATTATTCCTTAATCTTATAAAAATTTAAAAATGAATTAACAGTATCAACATTAAAATCTAATTGTTGCATTACAAAAATAATTACATTATTATTATTTTTGTACTTATAAGTTAAAAGTATAACAATTGCTATAATCATATCAAAATTAGAGCCTATTACGAGATCCAAATTTGTTTATTTTTTATATGAAATCAGTTCTTATTTTTGTTTATTCTAGTTTTATTCTAAACTCTGTTTTTTATTAATATTATTCCTTAATTTTCTAAAAATGAATTAACAAAATCGACATTAAAATCTAATTGTATCATTACAAAAATAATGTAAAACTTAAAAGTATAACAATTGCTATAATCATTATCAAAATTAGATCGTATTACGAGATCAGAAACAATTCTTAGGAACTAAAGTTCAACAATGTAGTAAAATAACATAATTAATAATATCTAAAAAAGGAATACATGGCACATCACATTGAACTATCTGATGTTGATTCACCGAACAACGTTGTGTAAGTTTTCTTAACCCTATTAGCCGTTTTATTTCTCATGGTCAACGTAAAGTCTTCATCGTTGCTGGATGATTCAGAGTTTAATGAAAATGGATTATTTCTTCGATGTCGTAAGTCTTTCAGTTACTAAACGCGTATCTACTAAGCACATAAAATAATGAACACTCTGTATTTAAACAGGGTCTTAACTAACTTCGGAATTAGGTTCTCATGTAATCTTATTCCGACGTAAATACATCGGAATTAGGTACTCATGTAACCTTATTCCGACGTAAATACATCGGAATAGCGTTTTATGATGCTAAATCAAAGTTTCTAATTCCGAGTACTAAAAAGTAAAAGATTTTTTAATATTATGCAAATAAAATAATGTATAGTTACAATATGAAAGGAAAACAAATATAAAGTACATACATATAATAACAGAACACTTATAAAACCTAATGTCTTCACTAAAATTTTCTATACAACGTATTAATAAAGTACCTGTACAAACAATTTTTGACCTGCTATAATTAGTAAATGCGACGCCACGGTGTACCTCGGAAATAGATTATTAAATGTATGAGTTATTCATTAAGTCAGAACTAACACATTAAAGTTTATAATCATAAAACAGACACCGAAATTTAAAAAAACTAAATGTCTTTAAATTTCTTTTTCCGTGGTATACATCGGCTTTTAGGAACACACTAAAATATTTTGCACCTAGTGCCGCGGTATTTTAAACACTTATTTTCTTGCTAATTTGCAAATAAAATACTCAAATCTTAAGTGTTTTCGATAAAAAATATTATCCTTTCAATATTTCAACCTAAACGAAAACTCGCGTTGTATAAAATTATTACGTAAAACACTATTTGGCAAATCGTAATACTCACGTGCATAAGGTCCCAAATGTATGAAGTGTGCTTTCGACGCCGCCCCTCGCGGCAAAATGACCGATTATTTTACAGTGTGACCATACTAAACTCTCCTTTGTATAAATAAATATGAACAGATAATTATTAATTCATTATTTTATCATGCAGACCATAAATAACTAGTAAATTGCTTTAAAAAACTGTTTTTCTAAATACATCGGAATATGATGCCATTTTTAGAACCCCTCGGAATAAGGTGCATTTACCTTATATTTATGTAAGTAGGTAAGTCATTTACATGAGCATGTACTTTTAAGTGTGGGACAGTTATGTTTCGGCACGAATGAGTCGGCTAGACCACGGTGATACCACGGCCTCACAGAAAACTGGCGTGAAACAACCACAGCGTTGTGTTTTGCCGTGTGAGTGAGGTTACCGGAGTTAACAAATGATATTTCGAGCAACGAATTTGTGGTCTTTTTGGCATGTCTTGGTTATCTTTGTGATTATTAATATAATAAGTAATACAATATAATAAGTAATACAATATAATAAGTAATAAACGTAAAAAGTTCTGTGCACAAAATTAATTTACAAAAACCATTCAATATAACTAGATAAATCGAACCGAAAGCTTCCTTCTCGCCATTAGTGTTTACAACCACTCGTCCTACGCGTAAATACAACGTATTTTTGTCACGAAACGCCGACGCATTTAAACTAGGCAAACTTTACCTAATATAAAAAGAGGTTGGAGAAAAACATCCGCCATTCGAGCTTTGACATCGATATCAACGCCATCTCTTGCCGATTTGAAGAAATTGTCGTATTGTAAAACGTATTGTTTTTTCTCTGTAAAAATGTTCAAAATCACCGCTATCGTTTCGTTATTGCTCATTGGTAAGTTTTTTTTTCTATTTTATTAATTTTATATTTAATTTTTAAATTTAGTATCTACATCTATTATATATTTATTTTTTGTAAATTTCTGATTTCTTCACGCATTTTTTTGTATTATAATTGGGAACCTATAATTTGTTATTATTTTATGATGATGATAATTTTATATGCTAAATCTAGCCACCCAAATAAAAGCAAGGAATGCCACAAACACTAAACAAAAGGTTTATATATATATAACATAATGTTATTTTTACTGTAAGTAATTTATAAACTTTTTTGTTCTAAATCTAATAATAATTTTAATTTGTCAGCGACATGGTCGCAGGCTGATTCGAAACGACATAAGAAAGAGGCGACGGCATCATCCGATTTCCCCTCAGGTTAGTCAGGTTAAGCAGGAGCATGGGCCCACAGAATATAGTCTATGGATAGAAAAAAAATCAGTGTTATTTATAATCTCATCCACTCGACTTGTCATATGGTCACATAGATAGAAAAAAAATGATCATTAATGACAAGCTGAGTGTATGAGGTTGCCTTCAATGTTTAGAAGAGTGTTATGTTTTAGATAGATAGATATTATATGTATGTACAGTATTATATAGATTTTTATTGTGTTAATTAATGTTAGGATGCCAAGCACAATACATGTTTCAACCATCTGTCAATAAATAAAAAATAGTTTATAACCAACTACAAAAACAAAGTTGGTTCTCAATTCGGTCATATATTAGTAGGGGAGACCAGGGTGCTAAATTTTCACGTGTTTTTATATCGATCACTAATTACAAGTCACCCTATATAGATCAGCTGGGGTTGCGGGGTAAGCGCAATGAGGCACCGCGACCTCGGCCCAGAGCAGGAGAAGGAACAGGGGGTTTTTAGTCAGTAAGAGTCTGACACTCCCTCCCGCCCGGCCCTGGGCGGGAGAAGTCATTTGATGATTTTCCCTTCACAAAAAAAACCCTATATAGATTTATTTTGTTTACTGAATGTAAGTATGGATTGTCTTATGTGATAAGTGATAAGGCAGCTAAATGTTAGATTGTCTGATCTGTAACGATTGCGTTGGGTTTTTGGGTTAGGGATGTAAGCATTAGTACCTAATGATCTCCGGCCACCGTAAGTGCGGGTCTGCGGACGGCGAGTAAGGGTAGCTCGCCGTCCGACCAGAACCAGACCCCAGCGTACGGCGCGTAGCGTTCCGCGCGCGCCTCAAAGAGCCAATAGACCACTACAGACGGCCCTATAGGGCTGATGTTCAGCCGGGGTTGCGGGGTAAGCGCAATGAGGCGACCTCGGGCTTGAGCAGGAGTTGGAACGGGAGGGTTTTTATTCAATATGAGTCTGACACTCTTGCCTCTAAGGTATTACGGCCTCGGTCTGGAGCAGGAGAAGGAATGAGGGGTTTTTAGTCAGTAATATTCTTTAGTCAGTAAGACCTTGGGCGAGAGAAGTCATTTGATGATATTTCTATCTTAAAAAATGTAGTTACTTAATTAGAAAACGAATGGTATGTTATGTGTTTTTTATAGTTAATGTTACTTTTTACAAACTGTCAAGTTAGTCAAACTCATGGAACTAATGAACCGATCTTTATGAAACTCTGTATTTATATGAGGCCAAAAAAGTTTAAAACGAATTTCTTCGATTTTTTAAATCGTTAATACCCGCAACACCAGAGAAGTTACGAGTCCTCTTATCTGGGGTTTGAGATTTAGAATGAGACTCCGGTAACCTCATTCAGATGGCGAAACACAACGCTTGTTTTCCTGTGACGCTGTGGTATCACTCCGGTCGCATCAGCCCTTTCGTGCCGAAGAATGGTTCTCCCATACTATTAGATAGATTTGCAGGACCCTCTAAGCTCACAGCGAAACGAGCCGGTCCAGGAGTATGGAAGTATGGCTCTCATTATAATATAAACTGGTCTATTTATTTGCTTGCAGGCAGCACGCTTTGGGCTGCAAGTCTGTCATGTGACTCCTGTGGAAGTGAGTGCGCGTCAGCCTGCGGCACCAGGCATTTTAGATCATGCTGCTTCAACTACCTTAGGAAGAAAAGGGGACCTGATACTGTGAAGGTATGGTGATAGGTGAAGTTTAGTAAAAGACTCTTAGAGAGACCTCCTTTTTAAAGTGGACGGAAATGGGCTGCTGGTGATGATGATGATGAAGAAATAAATACAACCCACTAGTTACTTCCACGCCGTTTCACCCGCTGCTCGGCTCCTACAGATCGTAGCGTGATGTTTTATAGCCTATAGCCCCTCTTCGATAAATGGACTAATGAACAAAAAAATAATTGTTCAATTCGACCCAGTATTTCCGGAGATTAGCGCGTTCAAACAATCAAACAAACAAACTCTTCAGCTTTGTAATATAAAAAAAAAGTATAGATAACCATTAATTATTATCTGCTTATAAGTGGCCACTGCTGAGCATAAGCCTCTTCTCACACTGAGAAGGTTTGAGTATTAAATTATACCACGCTTGCTCAACGCAAATTGGTGATTTTAAAACTTATGACAAGAATTATTGTGAGTCCAGGTTTTCTCACAATGTTTTCCTTCATCGTTTTTCAGTGGTGTATAGACAAATTAAGAAAGTACATATAAATCGGAATAGTCACCTTGGTACGTAAAAAGGTTATATGTCTCCGTATCCTCATGCATGAGAAGCAAGCCTTACCTTTCAGGCCATCAGCAGCCAGGAGGTGCGCGTTCGGAACCTGGCAAGTACCAATGTGACTTTTTCCGAGTTATGCTATGTAATTTCTATGATTATTAAGATACCACAGATATACAGTGACGGAAAACATCGTGTTGTAGGTAAGTTTGAAATTGCCAATCCACCTTGAGCAAGTGTGGAAATTAATGATCAAACCTTCTCCATGTGAGAAGAGGCCTTTGCACAGCAGTGGGCACTTATAGGGTGATTATAGATAATGTTTATTGGAACTATTTTAACTTTTTATGTGTTACTTTACCAATCCGTTTGAATATATTTTTCTATTTTGCAGTTTTTGGCGCCAAATCAAGAAAATTTGAAAGAAACTCAACCTCGTTCGAAATTACCAATGTTCGTCGTCGAAAACATCCCAGTGCCAGAACAGTGGATCTCCAACCTGTTGTCCAACGAAAACCATCCTTACTCAATAGATGATATGGTCGAAAATCGAATGTATGACGCTTAAGCTTTTAATTCTCTAAACTGCAATACCGTTTGAAAATACATTTATACATTTTTGACAGGAATTTACATTTTATACAAAAATAATCTTTATATTAATTCTGTTATATATTATTTTTGAATAACACGCTTCTATTTCAGAGAAATTAGTAACAATTCGTTTTCATTAAAATTTATTTGTCGTCTGTTGAGTACAACGTTCCACGTATTATCCACTAGATGGCGTTAGGTTATCGTGCATCTGTTTACTTTTATCCTAATTATTTTGTTAGTTAAAAGCGGACACCGGTGTCCTCTCAGACCTATTGACATAGGCCATAATTCCGATACTTGGTCCTTAAACTGAAATAATTTATAAACTTGTGTACAAAATTGATTTTATCCTAATTTACTTGCAGATTAATAGATTTTGAGGTTATGTTTTTGATTGGTCTATGTTTAAAAAACAGTAAAGAAACCAAAATCAATTTAAAGTTTGATAATCGATTTAATTTGAATCCAGTTAAAACTGTGTAATATTACGATGTCACAAATGTTACTTTAATTTTTTAAACCGTTTTACTAGACATGTTGTTTAATATTTAACTTTTTGAAAAATGTATTTTTGTATTTTCAATCTCCTGTCAATTTGTAAAATATGATGATTCAAATAAATTAAATAAAAAAAAAGAAGAACGTATCATAAAACTGTTAGGTACTGTAAGTTTTAAATTAGTTAATAGATAATTAAAAAACAAAACTATGTACCTACCTAACTATATATAAAAAGAAAAATTTTATGTCTGAAATGGCTGGATAAAAAGACATAAAATTTTATCGGAATTATTGTAAAATGAGGATATATTGATATAAAATATTATTATCCAGATTTTGTTGTTTTCTTTATTTAACTCCCATACCACTTCGCGCGTCGTTGTAGGCCGCCACAATCAGGGCCAAATAGGGTCATTTCCCTGCCAGGGGCAGGTTGCCATATGGGTGCTAAAGGTCTTTTTAAGTGTGGGAGAGCCATGCTTCGGCACGAATGGGTCGGCTCGACCGGAGTGATACCACGGCCTCACAGAAGACCGACGTGAAACAACCACAGCGTTGTGTTTCGCCGTGTGAGTGAGGTTACCGAAGGCCCAATCCTTCCCCTCCCCCAATCCCTCCTCAATCCCTAAATCTCCAAATCCTTAATCCCTAAAAGGTCTGCAACGCACTCGTAACTCCTCCGTTGCGGGTGTCCATGGGCGGCGCTGATTGCTTACCATCAGGTAATCCGTCTGCTCGTTTGCCGACCAATTACATAAAAAAAGGCCTTTCGTCAGCAGTCCACAAGAGTGTGACATTGGCCACGGTTCGGTTATAGGCCCGTGTAGTGTTTGTATCTCCAAAAAGGTCATATTTGTGCACTAGTAGTCGAAGTATAGCAGTCAATCTGTCACTTCTGTCAGCCTGTCACTGGTTAAGGTTAGACTATTCTTTTTTATAGTTTTTTTTTTGTGAGGGGAAAATCATCAAATGACTTCTCCCGCCCAGGGCCAGGCAGGAGGGAGTGTCAGACTCTTACTGACTAAAAACCCCCCTGTTCCTTCTCCTGCTCTGTGCCGAGGTCGCGGTACCTCATTGCGCTTACCCCGCAACCCCGACTGAACATCAGCCCTTTAGGGCCCCGTCTGTGAGGCCCGTGTAGTGTTTGTATCTCCAAAAAGGTCATATTTGTACACTAGTAGTCGAAGTATAGCTGTCAATCTGTCGCTTCTGTCAGCCTGTCACTGACACTGGTTAAAGGTTGGACGAGTGCTGCTTGCATTACAAGTGTAGTGGTGAGCCAGTGCATTACCGGTTTTACTGTAAAGACAAGGGTCCTTACAGCCCGTATCTGTGGGATTAGGGTTTTGATGATCAGCTTACAATTCCCCTAACATGTGGCTGTTCTTTGACTGGGTATGCGGATGATGGTCTATTAATCGATCGATCTCGATTTGGGGCGCACGAAATCTCCCAACTTTTGCACTTCATAAAACTTACAAGATTTTTCTCAATGGAAATCTGAAGTCACGGCCGTCTATAAAGTTCACTTATGTTCCGGTGAAACGAAAGGAGTCGGTTAATCGGTTTGCTATCACAATCTATTTTTGAAAAAAAACTTTTTCTTCATTGAACACATTAAAGGTATCAAAAATAACTTTCATGCATTGCAAATTCAAAACGCAAATCTCGAAAGCTATTTGGGGTCTTTATTTTTCTAAGCGCGCTCCAAAGTCAAAGTGAAAGTCAAAAATCATTTATTCCAATTAGACTTTTACAGGCACTTTTGAACGTCAGACAAAATTTTGAAGATATATAGATAAGATATAGTGTCAGTCTGTCCGTCAGTCCTCTTAGTGAAGCTATTTGCTCGTTCCAAAGTGTAGATTCCTATGGAGAAGAACGAGCAAGAAACTCCATGGTTACTCTTTTTCAATCAGTTTCACATATAGACCATCTACGGAGCTACCTACCTAGGATGTGTGCGCTACGGGGCACCTGTCTGGGCAAATAGCGTGACAATAGGTGCGGTACGACGGAAACTTCTCCAGAGCCAACGTTTGTCTTTAATTTTTCTATGTAAGGCTTACAGGAAAGTTAGCGCTGAGCTGACCCATGCTTGCAGGATTACTTCCCGTATCCGGGGTTGCGGGTTAAGCGCAATGTGTCTGCGGCTTCGGCCCAGAGCAGGAGAAGGAACGGAAAGTTTTTAGCCAGTAAGAGTCTGACACTCTCTTCTCGCTTAACCCTGGGTGGGAGAAGTCATTTGATGATTTTCCCCTGACAAAAAAAAAAGGATTTTTTTCCCGTCGATTTTGAGGTATAGCGACGTGCTGCTATGTATAACAACGCGGGACAAAACATTTCCGCAAACTTTCTAGAAACAAATGGCTTTGTAGATGGGAATCTTTTATCAAGGGCTGCCATCTTTGTCAGGTTTTTCCACCCGTACAAGAGTGGTTGGAGAAGACATGGTTGGAGGTAGATCAATGCGTAGCCCAGTCTCTCACGGGTTTCGTAAATCATAAGACAACATAAACAACACAATCACTTATTATTATTTTTTATTTTTATGTAATTGGTCGGCAAACGAGCAGACGGATTACCTGATGGTAAGCAATCAGCGCCGCCCATTGACACCCGCAACGGAGGATTTACGAGTGCATTGCCTTGACCTTTTAGGGATTAGGGATTTGGAGTTTTAGGGATTGAGGAGGGATTGGGGACGGGGAAGGATTGGGCCTCCGGTAACCTCACTCCTCACTCACACGGCGAAACACAACGCTGTGGTTGTTTCACGCCGGTCTTCTGTGAGGCCGTGGTATCACTCCGGTCGAGCCGGTCCATTCGTGCCGAAGCATGGCTCTCCCACACTTAAACAGGATTATCGATTTACAAAAATATGTCGATAATACTGATTTGTTTGTCTCACTTTTTGATTGGAATGTTTGTACTTTTTGATCAATAATTTGACCGGAGAACGTATGTCATAACTAAATAATATCATATGATGTCATAGTTTGATGGACATGCTACAAATTTAACGACCATGGGTTGGCTTGGTTTGCAATATAAGAAGAAATTAGTGCAAAATAACGATTGCAAATGAACTATATTTAAACTTCATTCCTGTAAATTAAAAACTTTAAGAATTATTCCCAAAAATAAAATAATTTCCATTTTATTTAGAAACTATTCTGTCGTACAGACCTTGTTTGAACAAACTACAAATTTAACAAAAAAGATTGACCTAAATAGGTGTAAAACGGGTATCTAATACATATCGGAAATTGATATTTATTTATATCGATATGTAGAAAGTGACATATTGTGGGTAATTTTATTATTATCCGGGTTAGGTTCGGCTCCACTGGACAATACTCAAATATGTAGTCAGTAGTTATTAAAATTCTCAAAATTAATGAAACCTTGAATTTATACAGAAGCATTCCTTTAGATTGTGAGTGCGCATATGTGAGCACCATGTTTGAGACGACAAAGGATTAAAATTTAATGATAGATACCATCATTTGTTCTTTTTTTTAACAACTTGTCTCTGCATTGTTCTGACATGGGGGTATAAAAACTGTATTATTAGTGAAATTGTAAAACAAATTATATTTTTTAAAAAGTGTAACTATGGAGTTTCTTCGTTCTTCTCCATTCGACACTACAATTTGGAACGAGCACATAGCTTCACTGACGAACAGACTGACAGACTACTATTCTATTTTGACGTTTCAATAGTACCTATTTATGGTTTAGTTGGAATAAATGATTTTGATTTGATTTGATTCACATTATTGCTCCGTACGGGCCATCTGGCTTTGTTCTATAATCTGTGATCCACAGATTGTTGTTCCGTGAGTCTGGGTGTGATGTGTATGTGAAATTATATGTTTGTAAACGCACCCACGATACAGGAGAAAATCCTAGTGTAGGGCAAAGAATTTCACAAAACGGAAAAGTAAAAAAAAACTTTGATTGTATTTGAAAAATTTGTATTTTTATATAATTTTATTTAGTTCATTTCATTATACATACATTAATAAAGACTACATAATATACATAAACATTATAACAACGAAATCAGTCATGTAATTTTTTCAGTTACACAATCTTAATCTAGTTGATTTTCAATCAAATTTTCAGTTGTGTAAGGTCGGTATTCGCTTGCCAATAGGCTGTTAGTCCATCTCTCTGATAAGGGAGAGTCTTCCACCAGAAAGACAGGGAGATCAGAGTCTTGGTTCTTCACAATTTCCATAAGTTCGTGAAGCTGGAAATAAAAAGAAAAAATATTTATTTATTTATCTCGACCCGCCCGCCGCTTCGCCCGCGTGGTATGTTGATAAAAGCAGCGTATGCATTAATTCAGAGTACCACCAATCTATTTATCTAATTTTAACCAAATCGGTCCAGCCTTATTTGCGTGAAAGACTAACAAACATACATAAACATACATGTATTCAAATTCTCACAAACTTTCTTTATAATACCTAGTAGTTTATAAGATAGGAGGTACCTAATAGATGTCGTGGTGGCCCCGAGGTTTCTCAAGCATGAGGGTGTGGGTTCCAAACCTGTCAACTGGCAAGTACCAATGTGACATTTTCCGAGTTATATGTACTTTCTATGATTATTTAGACACCACTGACATACGGTGAAGGTAAACATCGTAAGGAAACCTGAACTTATAATTTCTAATTATAAGTTTGGAATCGCCAACCCGCATTGAGCAAGCGTGGTGATTAATGCTCAAACCTTCTCCTTGAGAGAAGAGGCCTTTGCTCAGCAGTGGGCAGTTATAGGCTGATGATGACCTAATATATTGGTAAGAATTTTTATTGAGGTTAAGCAACCAAGTTTAAAATGATGAAATTACACTTGAAACTTTTGAAAATTAGAAATTATAAATCCTATTTTCGCTAGCTTAGAAAGTTCATATAACACGGCAAAATTCACATCGGATCTTGCCAAGTTTCGAGCCCGCACCACGCATGGGAGGCGAGTGCCTTAATCTCCGGGTCACCGTGACATTTATACCTACTTCATATACTGGAAAAGTTAAGCAAAACTCCAATAAAATATTTTCCGACTCAAGAACCGAACCAATGCCTGAAAAAACCTCACGACAGATTCCAAAAACTCCAACACTAATGCATGTTTCCAATTATAATGAGACAAATAAAATTATTTGTAATTTCTCGTCATGTGGCTTCCTCTTGTGGCACAGATAAATAATAATAGACAGAATTGCATCCTCAAAAGTTCAGCAAAACAGTTCTCTCTATTCTGGTATCTATTGGCGTCACAGATTGCTTACCATCAGTGGAATTGTGGCTACCATTTTACTGTAACAGCGTCGGTGATAGAATTACCTGTGCGACATGTGGCGCCCTCTTCCGACGCAGGTAGTTGAAGCAGCACGCGCGGAAGCGCCGCGTGCCGCACGACGCGGCGCACTCGCTCCCGCAAGAGTCACACGATGACCACACGCTGCTCACTGAAACGAGAAGAAGAAATAACTCCAAAAATTCAATCAAAACTATAAACGCAAAAGTTTAATAGTATAAGTCGCAAACTATCTGACGGATTACCTGATGGTAAGCAATCGGCGCCGCCCATGGACACCCGCAACACCAAAGGAGTTACGAGTGCGTTGCCGGTTTCGGGATGGCGTTACGGATATAAGGATTGGGAAGGGATAGGGGGAGGGGAAGGATTGGGCCTCCGGTAACCTCACTTACACGGCGAAACACAACGCGGTGGTTGTTTCACGATGGTTTTCTGTGAGGCCGTGGTATCACTTCGGTCGAGCCGACCCATTCGTGCCGAAGCATGGCTCTCCCACACTTAAAAGACTTCTCACAAATGTCCAGCAGTGAAAGTCTTGAATCTTGATAATAATTATTTATCTCTGGCCTTATACTCCAACTAAGAGATTTTCTTTTTGTGATGAAGAAAACCATCAAAAAACTTCTCTCACCCAGGATAGGGCGAGGACTCTTCCTGACTTAAACCTTCCCCGTTAGTACGTACGTACGTACGTACGTACTCAGTATTCACCCCACAATAATAATAAAATACAAAAATCTTACCAAAAAACATTAAACAGAGAACCGCCAACATTTTGAACATGTCTCTGAACACTCTCTGCCGAAGCTGGGAAACGAATGTGTTTGAACTTACTGCCGTCGCAATATATATGAGGTTGTGTTTATTCAGTTATAGTGTAGGCGACAGAGAGACAAAGCTTTTTAGATTATAATATACTAGCTTTAGCCCGCGATTCAGTTCGCGTGGAATAGTGACTTCCTGCAGATTTTTGGTATAAAATTGTTTGAGATATCTTTTAGCCAAGTTATTCTGTATGTAGGTATATAAGTTTGAAATCACCAATCTGCCTTGAGGAAGCGTTGTGGTTAATGCTCAAACTTTCTCCGTGTGAGAAGAGGCCTTTGCTCAGCAGTGGGCACTTATAGGCTGATGATGATAAATCAATAAAGATCAATTCAGTAGCTTTTGCCCGCGATTCAGTTCGCGTGGAATAGTGATTTCCTGTAGATTTTTGGTATAAAACTATCCTATGTCCTTTCTCTAGTTCCAAACTATGTCTGTACCAAATTTCATACACATTGGTTCTGTAGTTTAGGCGTGAAGAAACGACAGACAGACAGAGTTACTTTCGCATTTATAATATTAGTTTGGACTAGCGATCCGCCCCGGGATCGTATCGCTGATACAAAATTTCTCCACTATTTAATAGATGTTATTATCTATACTAATATTATAAAGAGGTACATTTTGTATGTTTGTATGTAGGGGGTGATCTTTGGAACCGCTGGTCGGATTTCCAAATTCTTTCACTGATAGATAGCTACAATGTTCCAGAATGCTTAAGGTAATAGCCGCGGGCGGAAGCTAGGTATACATACACATGTAAACCTTCCTCTTCAATCACTCTATCTATAAAAAAACCGCATCAGAATCCGTTGCGTAGTTTTAAAGATTTAAGCGTACATAGGGATATAGGGACAGAAGAAGCGACTTTGTTTTATACTGTGTAGTGATATGTAGGTAAATGTGTATCTCAGAGTTATTTGTTTACGAATATTTACTTAGCTACTTCTATGAGTAAAAATGTTTACCGCTATTGATAAATATGTTTATATATAATATGTTATTGACGAAATAATATTTATTTACTTATTAAAGCCAAATTTTCTTTCAAGAATCGAATATTCATGTCTACACGGTTTTTTTTGGAGGGGAAAATCATCAAATGACTTCTAGGGAGTGTCAGACTCTTACTGACTAAAAACCCTGTTCCTTCTCCTGCTCTGGGCCGAGGAGGCGTGAGGAGGAGGATTGCTCCCTCACGCGGGCCGCCTCTCTTTTTGCGAGCATGACTGCTTCACAGAAGGAGGAGACGGCGTCCCGGTTCCTCTCACTCCGCACCATGGCCTTGACTAAGGCCGGGCGCGAGAGGTCGCCGCCGCCGATCACTTCCCTAAGGAATGTCTACACGGTTGGCGCGGTGGCTGGGCAACTGGCTGCTGTACAACGTGGCGCGGGTTCAATTCCCGCACGGATCAACTCTTTGTGTGATCCACAAATTGTTGTTCCTTGTCTGGGTGTGATGTGTATGTGAAATTGTATGTTTGTAAACGCACCTACAACACAGGAGAAAATACTACAGTGGGGAAACGTTTTTTTTAATACAAGGCAAGATCAATTCAGGGTCTCTATCATCCATCATCATCATCATCATCACATTCACAGCACTTATAGACTATAAGTGCCCACTGCTGAGCAAAGGCCTCTTCTCATACGGAGAAGTTAAGAGCATTAATCACCACGCTTGCTCAAGGCGGATTGGCGATTTGAAACTTATAATTAGAATTAATTAATTATAAGTCCAGGTTTCCTCACGATGTTTTTCCTTCACCGTATGTCAGTGGTGTCCAAATAATCATAGAAAGTACATATAACTTGGAAAAAGTCACATTAGTACTTGCCAGGTTTCGAACCCACACCCTCATGCATGAGAAGCGGGCGCATTAAACTCTAGGCTACCATCATCCGCATCATCCTAATTCGACTCAGAATGAAACTGCGTTGCTGGCTAGAGTTGGTTTTTTTAGAGCCATCGGGGATGTGAATACAGGGGCGAAAGTATATTGGGCTTTTTTAAGTGATAGGACGCTGAACGACTCGACAGATTACCTGATGGTAAGCAATCAGCGCCGCCTATGGACATCCGCAACATTAAAGGAGTTAAGAGTGCGTTGCTGGCCTTTTAGGGATTAAGGTTTCGGAAATATAAGGATTCCCGAGGGATATATTAGGTTTGGGAAGGGGAAAAACGATTTTGTTTTTTTTTATGGAATAGGAGGCAAACGAGCAGACGGATCACCTGATGGTAAGGGATCAACGCCGCCCATGGACACCTGCAACACCAGAGGAGTCATAGGTGCGTTGCCGGCCTTTTAAGAAAGGAGTACGCACATTTCTTGAAGGTTTGAAGGTCGTATCGGTTCAGGAATACCACCGCCGGAAGATCATTCCAAAGGTTTGCTGTGCGGGGCAGAAAGTTACGCGAGAATCGCACAGTTGTTGACTGCCAACCATCTATGTGATGAGGATGAATATATGTTTCTGTCTCTGGCAACTTTATTCACACGGCGCGGCGAAACAAAACGCAGTGGTTCTTTCACGTCGATTTTCTATGAGGCCGTGGTATCACTCCGGTCGAGCCGACCCATTCGTGCCAAAGCTACACTTAAAGGCACAATAATCTTATTCACATGGCGAAAGTGTATCTCTCGTCTTCAGTGTCTACGTGTCTGCCAATACCTATAAAAAACGTGCGTGATGATACTTTCAGCAGTGTGATTCTGTAAGACTTCATTCTAAACTTCGAATCTGAATCCGCCGTGAGTAGTAGTACACTAGCGCTACACTTGCGAGTTGAACTAAATTGACAGCATCATTTTGAAAGATAAAGTATGAAATGACGTTAAAAGTGGCATTCAAAAATTTAATTTACCCGTCACTTCGACGCTCACTTCGCACTCGAACATGATTCAAAATCAAACAAATCAGAGCCAGAGTCAGAGATAGTGGTTTTAGTATGTCCAGGAACTGTGACGCAAGTAGAAATTGAAGGGTGTTTTGCTGTAGACATCTTGGCGACTATACCCGTTACCGAAGTAAGGAGATCGTGTGTGCTTAAAGCTTTTTGAAGCATTTTTAATTTGTGCCATTTATCGGGTCTATTTTTACGCAGTGAACGAAGTTCGACACGAATGGGTCGGCTCGACCCAGGTGATACCGATGTCCTCCGACATCAGATCTACATATGTTCGACTGCACGGTTGGTGCAACAGCTGGACAATTGTCAGGGGAAAATCATCAAATGACTTCTCCCGCCCAGCGTTAGGCGCGAGAGATTGTCAGACTCTTACTGACTAAAAACCCCCCGTATCTTCTCCTGCTCTGATCCGAGGCCGCGGTGACTCATTGCGCTTAACCCGCAACCCCGGCTGAACATCAGCCCTATAGGGGGTGCCCTATAGGCTGATGTTCAGTATAGTCTGTGGTGGTCTATTGAGTCTTTGAAGCGCGAGCGGAACGCTACACGCCGTTACGCTCGGGTCTGGTTTTGGTCGGGCGGCGAGCTACCCTTACTCGCCATCGCAGATCCGCTCTTGCGGTGGCCGGAGATCATCTCTCGGGCTGGGCAACTGGCTACCGTGCAACGTGTCGCGGCATCGATTCCAGCACGGAACAACTCTTTGATCCACAAATTGTTGTTCCGGGTCTTGGTGTCATATGTATGCGAAATTGTACACGACACAGGACAAAATCTTATTTATCGGATACGGCGATCTTTAAAAACAAAAAAAAATGTAGCATAACTACACACAGTACAGATACATATGTAGATATAGCTTCAATAAAATCTAGGTAGAAAAATATTGTAGGCTAAAAAGCGAAACTAGATAAAGCCGCCTACTTATAGGAATGTTAAGTAAACTGTATGACTATATAAAAGGGGTAGCTGCGTGAATATCGGCAGTGTCTCACAATTTGTGACAGAGGTATCAAGAAAAATAAAATACAAGTATTTTTATTTTGAAAAATGTTCAAGTTAACTGTGTTCCTAGCACTGGTGTTTATTGGTAAATATTTTTAACTAGCTTCCGCCCACGGCTTCGCTCGCGTTGTATGTTGATGAAAAGTAGCATATGTCCTATTCCGGAGTGTATCCTATGTCTGTGCAAAATTTTGTCCAGCCGTTTTAGAGTGATTGAGTTACAAACATCAAGTAACTTTCGCATTTATAATATTAGTTTACACAGAAATAATTTCTTTTTCCAGCCGATGACTTAATTCAACGCGTATATATTTTTTGTTTATGTGTGTACACCGATTACTCGGGGACGCCTGGACCGATTTGGAAATTTCTTTTTTTATATGATAGGGATACTTGCCATTTGGTCCCGTGATTGGGGACGGCTTGGTCCACCCCGAACCTCACAAACACAAGGCATTTGTTTCACTCTGGTCGTGCAAGGAGTCGTATTTTTAGTCTGGGGAGAATCATCAAATGATTTTTCTCGCCCAGGGTAAGGCGAGAGAGTGTCCGACTCTTACTGACTAAAAACCCCCCCGTTGCTATTCCTGCTTTAGGCCGAGGTCGCGATGCCTCATTGCGCTTACCCCGCAACCCCGGTTGAACATCAGCCCTGTAGGGCCCCGTCTGTGGTGGTCTATTGGCTCTTTGAGGCACGCGCGGAACGCTACGCGCCGCACGCTCGGGTCTGATTCTGGTCGGGCGGCGAGCTACCCTTACTCGCGTCCTTAGATCCGCGCTTACGGTGGCCGGAGATCGTCTCTCGAAGTAGGTTCATATAATTATGAATTTATGGAGTTTGTTTGTTTCAGTGAGCAGCGTGTGGTCATCGTGTGACTCTTGCGGGAGCGAGTGCGCCGCGTCGTGCGGCACGCGGCGCTTCCGCGCGTGCTGCTTCAACTACCTGCGTCGGAAGAGGGCGCCACATGTCGCACAGGTAATTCCTATCAGCGATACTGTTATACTATAATGGTAGCCACAATTCCCCTGATGGTAAGCAATCTGTGACGCCAATAGACAACTGAATTAAAAGTTCTTTGATGAATTTTTTAGAAAGTAGTGCTGTCAGCTTTATCTGTGCTACAAGAGGGTGCCACGTGTCGCTTAGGTAACTTCTGCCATTAACATTTGATATTGGAATATTAATTTTAAGTATGGCCATGCTTTGGCACGAATATGTTTATGTTTGTCACGAAGTGATACCACGGCTTCACAGAAAATCGGCGTGAAACAACCACAACGTTGCGTTTTTGACGTGTAAGTTCCTACTCACGGACCGGACCAACCGTTCCTCTCCCCGCACCCTGGGAGGGCACCAGCGCCTGGTGTGTCCTGACCGACAAATATTAGGATGGCGCACAATGATTACCAACACGTGGTTTCAAACCCGTAGGTAGGATTCAAGTGTTGAAAGTGAAACCATATTTCAACACGAATGGGTCGGCTCAACCGGAGTTATACCACGGCCTCACAGAAAACCGATGTGAAACAACGATGTGTGTGATGTTATCGATCCCAATCCTTAGCCTCCCCAATCCCAAAATCTCTACAACCTAATCCCCAAAAAGGTCGACAACGCACTCGTAACTGCTCCGTTGCGGATGTCCATGGGCGGCGCTGATTGCTTACCATCAGGTAATGCGTCTGCTCGTTTGCAGCCCGTGATAGGACATACATTTAGGACCAACGAAAAAATTCTGCGACATAATTATATTTATGAGAATAATGTAACGAAATTTTTTTTTAAATCGTTCCAGCTCCATTTCAGACCTCAAGGCTTGAAGGACAATAGACCGATGGCAGATCTGCTGTCCTTTATTGAAGAAGATCCTAACGCAGACCTATGGATGAACACCGAATACCAACCCTACCCTCCAGAAGATATGTTTGGAAATGGCTTGGATTGAATACTAAACTTACTTTCTCGTGAAAAAAAAAATTCTGAAAAATATGACTGATTTTTATATGTAATATTATGTGCTTTATGCTTATTTACCAGTTTATGTTTATATAAATAAATAATGTATTCAAATTGATTTGTGTTATAATCAAACTGTGTCTGCAAGCAGCTGAAACAGCAGTGTGATTCTGTAAGACTTCATTCTAAAATTCGAATCTGAATCCACTGTGAGTAGCACACTAGCGCTACACTTTGCGAGTTGAACTAAATTGACAGCAACATTTTGATAGATAAAGTATAAAATGACGTTAAAAGTGGCATTCTAAAATTTAATTTTCGTCATTTTGACGCTCACTTCGCACTCGAACACGATTCAAAATCAAACAAATTTTATAGAATCGACTTGCAGCACCGTGTGCAGCACTGATCCATAAGAAAATACCTAAACACTGGAAAGAATTGCCCATATTGAAAAGACGATTCGAACTGTTGAAAAAAACATACCTATTATAGTATAAGTGAATTTTTAAGATTTTGTTATATAGAGTATTGTAATCGGGATTGATAATAATAATTTTGAAAGCCTTGTTAACTACCGAGATGCCTGTTATTATTATTTCTATTTAATTTAATATAAAAGCACTTAAATTCTGTGTTCTCCCTGTTAAAATTTGCATGCCTTCCTGGCAAAGTATGTCTGAACCACTAAAATGTATCTTTTATCTTTTATCTTTTATCTTTTATCTTTTATCTTTTATCTTTTATCTTTTATCTTTTATCTTTTATCTTTTATCTTTTATCTTTTATCTTTTATCTTTTATCTTTTATCTTTTATCTTTTATCTTTTATCTTTTATCTTTTATCTTTTATCTTTTATCTTTTATCTTTTATCTTTTATTTTATCTTTTATCTTTTATCTTTTATCTTTTATCTTTTATCTTTTATCTTTTATCTTTTATCTTTTATCTTTTATCTTTTATCTTTTATCTTTTATCTTTATCTTTTATCTTTTATCTTTTATCTTTTATCTTTTATCTTTTATCTTTTATCTTTTATCTTTTATCTTTTATCTTTTATCTTTTATCTTTTATCTTTTATCTTTTATCTTTTATCTTTTATCTTTTATCTTTTATCTTTTATCTTTTATCTTTTATCTTTTTTCTTTTATCTTTTATCTTTTATCTTTTATCTTTTATCTTTTATCTTTTATCTTTTATCTTTTATCTTTTATCTTTTATCTTTTATCTTTTATCTTTTATCTTTTATCTTTTATCTTTTATCTTTTATCTTAAACTTCACAAAGCTAAGTTAAAATAAAATAAGGTTGAAAAGGCCTCAATTTAACAGTAAAGTTTCAAGCTATTTCTATCACAATTGGGTATGATATTAAATATGTTCTAACCAACGATTTTGTGAAACTTAAAAGACCCATACGCACTGCTAGGTTCTTTGACTTTGTCTCGAAAAGACCTCATACGCACTAGCTGAAAGTTTGAGGCGCGCGCGGAACGCTATGCGCCGTACGCTCGGGTCTGGTTCTGGTCGAGGCGGCGAGCTACCTTTACTCACCGTCCGCAGACCCGCGTTTACGGTGGCCCGAGACCAATTTTTGATCCCCGACGCTCGGTGTGTCACCTACTGAGCGGCTTGGGCGTGAGACCCTCACGCGCTCCGCCTCCTCCTTTGCGAGCATCACTGCCTCGCAGAAAGAGGAGACGACATCCCAATTCTTAAAAGAGGGGTCTTACCGCTGCTATTACAGCGTTCCCGAACGTAATAAAGCTGAAAATGGAATCTAGAGTACTCAACTCACCACTCGCAGAAAAGCTGATGACGACCAAGATGGCTGCCAAACAGCTGTAGTAACCGTTATTTGAATGCCTCATCATCTTCTATAATACTTCTGCAACAAACAAGATTTTAAAATAAATAAATATAAAACAATCAACAACTTTTTAAATGTCTATAATTTGTATATAGTTTCTCCTTCTCCTTCTCCTTCTCCTTCTCCTTCTCCTTCTCCTTCTCCTTCTCCTTCTCCTTCTCCTTCTCCTTCTCCTTCTCCTTCTCCTTCTCCTTCTCCTTCTCCTTCTCCTTCTCCTTCTCCTTCTCCTTCTCCTTCTCCTTCTCCTTCTCCTTCTCCTTCTCCTTCTCCTTCTCCTTCTCCTTCTCCTTCTCCTTCTCCTTCTCCTTCTCCTTCTCCTTCTCCTTCTCCTTCTCCTCTCCTTCTCCTTCTCCTTCTCCTTCTCCTTCTCCTTCTCCTTCTCCTTCTCCTTCTCCTTCTCCTTCTCCTTCTCCTTCTCCTTCTCCTTCTCCTTCTCCTTCTCCTTCTCCTTCTCCTTCTCCTACTCCTTCTCCTTCTCCTTCTCCTTCTCCTTCTCCTTCTCCTTCTCCTTCTCCTTCTCCTTCTCCTTCTCCTTCTCCTTCTCCTTCAGGATGTTATAAACGCTATCCAAACAGAATTTAAAGACACATTAACTACACTCCAGGCTGAAATGACACAAAATACAAAAAACTTAGCAGACATCCAGAACAATTTGCAGGACCAAATTAACTTATTAAATAATAAAATAGAGAACATTGAGCAACAACTACAGGCTTTGGAAAATAACAAAACAGTTGTACTTTATGGACTGTCTGAGAACCATCATGAAAATGAAAATGACCTATATGACCGTGTTTCAAGAGTATTCCATGAAATAATGAATATTGATATAAACCCATACATAGAAGAAATTAAGCGAATAGGGATAAGACGAGGGAAACGACCATTGACTATAGAATTAATTAGCAAGCGAATGACAAAATATATAATAAATAATGGAAGAGCTTTCAAAAATACAGGATTAGCAGTCGGACCATTCCTGGACAAAAAGTCACTACAGCATCGAAACGAACTTCGGAAAAACCTAAGAGAAGCTAGAAACAAAGGCCAACACGCTTTTATAAAAAACAATAAGCTTTTTATAAATTATAAAGAAGTCACAACATATACACAATCCACAGCTGAAGAGACCCAAAACACCTCGAGATACCTATCCAGAGAAAATGAAAACAACTCAATAAACGCTAGTACATCTGAGAAAGACTCCCAAAGAACTACCCAGCAACCAGACATAACGACATCAAGTAACAATCGAAATCATAACCGGACATTTCGCTACTAACTTCAACATAACTTTCCAAAACATACAAAGTATAGGAAATAAAATAAGCTTACTTGAAGAAATATTGTTAGATTCTAATATTACTATATTGTCACTTTCTGAACTATGGAAAAATTATCATTACTGTGATTCTATCCAGTTCCCGGGATATAAATTAGCATCTATTTTCTGTCGTGAATTATATGAAGGAGGCGGGGTTTGTTTGTATGTTAAAGATAGTTTAAATTACATTGAACGAAATGACATTGTAAATTATTCTAAAGAATTTATAATTGAACTAAGTGCAATAGAAATACCTGAACTAAATTGTATATTAATAGGACTATACAGAGCGGATCGTGATATTAATATATTTTATGAGCAAATGGAAAAACTTTTGAATAAACTAAAAACGAAAAATAAATATGTAATAATAGGCGGAGACTTTAACATAAATATGCTCAAAAAGAACTCTCGATCACAAGATCTATTAAACTTTATGAAATCATACAATTTTTGCCAACTAATACGCGAACCCACACGAGAAACTAAAACTACATCCACATGCATAGACCTTCTGTTTACAAATTACAAAGAAATTGTAAATAAAGCATACATACACGACTACGGTCTCTCTGACCACAAAGCAATAAACGTTAAATTGAACTCGGTAAAAAATAAAAATGATAATAAAATTTGGTATATACAAAAAAGAATATTTAGTCAAAATAAAATAATAAATTTTAAAAATTCATTAAAAGAAATTAATTGGGACGATATAATTCAAACTAAAAATAATGTAAATATAAACTATACTAAATTCATTTTAATAGTAATAGAAAAATTAAATCAACACATACCCTTACAAAATATTAAATTCAAAAACACACCATATAAAGGATGGCTCACAACCGGTATAAAAAAGTCTTGTAAACATAAAAGGTCATTAAAAATAATATTAAACCAAACTAACAACAACGAAATAATAAAAAGATACTATAATTTATTTGATAAAATTTTAAAACGTAGTGTACAACTGTCTAAAAAACAAGAATATATAAAACAAATGGAGAAATCAAATAACAAAACTAAAACCATGTGGAAAATTATAAACACAAAAACACGAAAAATAAAACTAAAGAAACATGAAAACATAAACCTTACAGTAAATAACGATAAAATAGAATGCCCAGTAACAATCAGCAACATATTCAACGACTTCTTTGCTACAGTTGGTGAAACGACTTCTAATACAAATATAAATAAAACGGGGCGACCAGTTATAAACCCACCAATATATTCAATGTATCTACGTCCTGTAAATCAAAAAGAAATTTATAAAATTATACAGCTTACAAAAACTAAACACAGCTCAGGTATCGACGACATCCCCCCCACTCTACTAAAACAATGTGCTGAAGAACTTTCCAAACCTTTGACATACTTAATTAATCAAAGTTTCCAAGATGGTGAATTTCCTGACTCGCTAAAAATATCACTAATTAAACCAATCCATAAAAAAGACAATACAAATGTGCCGAGCAACTATAGACCAATAGCCCTTCTGCCAACATTCTCTAAGATATTCGAAAAAGCAATGTGCAATAGACTCTACAGTTTCCTAGAAAAGAACAACATACTGGATGACTCTCAGAACGGTTTCAGAAAAACTAGATCTACAACATTAGCGGTGTATAAATATGTACAAATGGCTCTCCAAACCATTAACGATAAAAAAGCTGGAATAGGAATATTGTTAGATATGACGAAGGCATATGATAAAGTTTCTTACGATATTCTTTTAACTAAACTGTATGGTTCAGGTGTGAGAGGACCTGCATACCAGTGGTTTAAATCCTAC